GTCACTGGGTTAGTAATCCAGAGGCCCAAACTACTGATGTGGGGACATGAGTTTGAACCCCATTATAGCAGCTGATAAAATCTGAGTTCAATAAAATCTGGAATTAAAAGTGAATGGTGACAATGTAACTATTGTCCTAAAATGCCATCTCATTCATTAATATTGTTAAGGGAAGGAAATCTGTTGATCTTAATCAGTCTGACCTATATATGACTCCCAAATCCAAAGCAATATGGTTGGCTGTTAACCGCCCTCTGAAATAGCCTAGCAAGCCGTTCAGTTCAAATGCAACTAGAGATGGGAATCAAATCTTCAAAGTCACACATCATCCTGACTTGGAACAATTTTGTCATTTCTTCACTGCGACTACTAATAAAGTATGAGTTCCCATCCTAACAGCACATAAGGTAGCACTCCCTAAAATTCCATTTAAGAACCAGTAGCTATACCAGCTGCTTAACAGGAACCTGTTTTCAAATTTTCAAAATAGCAGAAATAATGTATAGAGGCCAAACATCAGGACTGTGTTTTGGAGCTAATCTGGGAACTACAACAATGGCGATCAATAGTATGCATGATTCTGTACCTAGGTGTCAGTCAGTTTCTGGAGTCACAGGCCAGATGCAAATTCACAGAGTGAACACTTTTCTGATGTTATTCAGGGCTGTGATCTGAATAGACAGATATGCAACCATAATAATCCCATGAACGTCAGGGAATCCAGTCATATAGTGAAAATATACAGCTTATGGAACTTCTTGCCACAGAGAGCTGTGGGGACAAAGACCTTACGCGTATTTGATTCTTGATCAGTAGGGGAATCAAGGGTTATGGGGAAAAAATAGGAAAGTGGACATGAGGAATATCAGATCAGCCTTGATCCTATTGAAAATGGATCAGTCTCCAGGGGTCAAATGGCCTACTGTTATTTCTATTTAACATGGTCTTAATGCTGACCTTACCAGCAATAGCCAAGGATAAAAAAAAACTCAAAGTTAAATATTTATAGGGAAATAGGAAAGGGAAATTATTTGGATAGCTTTATTAAAAAGCTGACAAAAGCAAGAGAAGCAAAATGCCTTCCTGTCGCACATTTATTTTTTCTCTTAAATACATTGATGCTATTTGTCTGAGCTTTTCCTTGTGTGGACAGAAAATTGCACTTTCTGTCCTGAAATCCTTTGGAGTGTCATTTTGTATTAAATGTTTCCCTCAGAACAGAATCCTGTTTATGTAGTGTCTTTCCTTATTAAAAACGGTCCATCCATGTGGAGTTATTTCAAGGACATTGTTCAGCAAAGGGAGGGCGGACTCCAGGCGCAAAATAATCTTTTATAATTAGTTCAGCTCTCCGCCATCCTTCATTTTACACTCAGTTTCCCCTATGGAATATTGTGCAGGAGACCCTATTTAATGCAAAGAAACATTATTATCTCAATTGCTATACCAATCTCCATGTAAATATAATTATTCACTGTCTGTCTTGTGTAGGAATCAGTCCATCGCTTCTGTAATTGAAGTGAAAAAAATCCTAAAATCTAATTGCAACTCAAACAAGTTGGTGTTATTTAGATTTCCTCATGGTTCACATTAGTCTCTGGCTTATTTATAACCTAAACACACTCAGTTCAAGCACTCAATCCATCACATACTCAGCCTTATCTAGCTTCCTCCTGCTCCAGGCTTCCTAGTATTCCTATCCCTGGTCCCTCCTACCAGAAATTTCTAGAATAAAAACTACTCTCTAGAATTAAGCATAATTTTATATAATAACCAAATAAATTTATTTTTCTTCATAATTTCCCCATCTTGTTATACGGAGATCTTAGTAACTTAAGATTTCCATAACTTTCCATCTAGAACAAACTGTAATCACAAGTCACGCCCTCACTCTTTCCTCTGATGAAATGTGGTTTGTGTTAATTTTATGATGTGTCTTTTTAAGTTGCTTGCAGAGAAAGCACACAAAGGAACTGCTTGTCTTTGTCTCTGTGCTGCCTTGCATACAGCCTTCTCCTGGCGCTGCACATTCACACCAATTACATACTCAGCAGTATGTTGTCATGGTTACAGAAGGGTCAGTCACAACTCTGAAGGATTCACAGAGAGAAAACGGCACGTGTAAGCCTGTGTTCTCGTGTGTCTGCTGCATATTAATCACGTTTACACTTGCATTTGTGTCTATGTGTGAATGCCTGGAGGGCGTGGGGTGGGGGGCTGGTGGGGCAGGGCTTAATATCTGTCTCAACCTATTTGAATGCGACTGTTTTTCTATGTATGTCTGCCTGTATGTATGCCAACCTCTTTGTGTGTGTATGTGTTTGGTTCTGTTTGCCTTGTCTGCCGTTCATAGCTGCTATTGCCAGGAGATCTGCCACACTCCTCTGTCTTGTGCCATCCTCGCACATGTCCACTGCCACAACCACATTGTGGCATCGCCATCCTAGATCATCTCCAATTTCTGCTGCTCTCCACTTTGCCCCCAAGAGGAGATCTCTGCCAGTGGGATCAATTTTTCCAGATTGGTGGTGGCAGGTTTGGAGACTGCAAGGGTGAGCCAGTAAAATAAAGGCAAATAATAATAATGATGCATAATAAATAAATAATGCATTCCTATCACGAGGAAACGTTCCCAGAGGCAGCAACCAACGAACATATTGAAGGCTCCCGAATAAGGACAGTTTTGCAGCCTCAGTAGCATTTTTCTGGCAGCCAAGCCACTCCCCTGCCACATTTGGAGGTTGCAAATTCAGTAGAGAATGCTGCTTTTCTCATCACAGCCAGAGGCTCAATGTCCCACTAACACATCTGCAAACAGGGAAAAAAAAAATCACATCCCTGATAAAAATAATCCACTTCAGAGGGCTTGGCTTCCTCCCCCACTCTGAGATGCCTAATGGCTTCAGACCTTGTAATCAGTTAAATTTACGTTGCTCAGGGTGCCGCCATGCTGAGGTACCCTTGCAGTCCGTGACTGCAGTCTGCAGCACCTACCTCTCTCAGTGACACTGCTGAGGCTAACCTCTGACTGGACTGGCAAAAATGAGAGCTCACCTACTATTTTTATATAGAACACTGAGCAAAGAGACAACAAATGCGGGCTCAAGACTCTCGTTTAGTTCCAATATCATGGTCCCTAAGCTTGCAGGCAAATCTCCCAACGGTTTCTGTCTGTGAATCTTTCTTGATGTATGTATCTCAGTTAATGTCTCTGCTATGACTAGGCCATGATTTTTATTAGAGTCTGAGATAAAGATATTTGTCTCTCTCCTATGTATATCTCTTTGAATGGAACTGTGTATCTGTCTGGATCAGTTACATGTCTGAGTTTGTGTGTGTCTCTCTCTCATGTGTGTCTGCCTTCTGTCTTGTATGTCTTGTTGCATACATGAGCATGTGTCACTTTGTATGTCGTTGAGAATGTCTGTTGAAAAGCTATTTTCAACTATTCCAGAGAGGGTTTGTCACAGACAGCAGCTCGTGAACAGGCAGGACTGTCAGGAATTAAACATCAAACGTGTTGCATTCTGCTTTGACAGATCCAGCCTGGAGCGACAGGATTGATCTGGGGAACTGTTATGTTCTACAACCTTTAACCCTGTGGGAACATAAAAGCTAATTAGCTTTCTGGGAGTGGTAGAAGGCACTAAGGCATTAATATTTTCACTTTGTTTTCCTAAAATAGCAATTAAAATGCAAATTACAAAAATGTAAAGATCACATCCAATAAATCATAAATAAAATTAAGACTAGTGTTACACTAATTGCAGTTGCAACGTGAAGGTTTAATATTCTTTTTATTGTAGTTGAGGAAAAGAAATACTTCATTTACACTTCTACTGATAGCTTCCTCTGTCTCTTAAAGATGCTGGCTTCCTGCTCAAGTACGTTCCTTTGTTACCACATCCAAAAGTAACTACTATTCAGATGTGAACTAAGACGTCAAGTCTTTGCATGCTATTCTACCATGATTGGCTTCACCTGACTGCAGTCTCATCCTCCATCCAAACCCAAAATATTTTCCAACAGGGATAACTCAGCATCAAGCAGCAGCAGGAACTCAAAGCAAATTTCCCCTTCTTCGATCAACATGGGTCAAGGAGAAAAAATGTTTTGCATTTATAGAACACTTCAACACAAGCTCAGTATGTCCCAAAACACATTAGAGCCGATAAGTATTCTTGATGTGTAGTCACTGCTCTAAATATGGGAAACACAGCAGCCTGTTCATGAGCTGCTGTCTGCTACAAACCCTCTATGGAATTGTACAAAATCGTAAGCTTTTCATCAGACAAACTTAAATACAAACATGAAGAAACACATGCTTGTTCTCCAAACAAAGTGACAACGACCAAAAATTAATAGCAGTTTAGTATCCTAAAGTAACAAACAGCATTATCTGTGACAGTCATTTTGGTGCATTATCTCGACTTCCTTTCATGACGTCAATCTTATCATCCTCCTGAAAAGGCGTCTTCCCTATTAGAGATTTCCTCTGTTCAATGTTCAAACAGCTCCATTCTTGTCTTTCCAAATGTAGTCAGAATATCTCCTACAGTGGCTCAGAACTCCCCCCAAACATCTCTCCTTGCACCATCTCTCCACTTCCTCATCTTCATGCTGCCCCTTAGCAACATCATTTGAAGCCATGGGATCAGTTTCCATAGATACACTGGCAGACATACATACAAACATACAAATTAGGAGCTGGAATAGGCCACTTGGCCCTTCAAGCCTTCTCCACTATTCAATAAGATCATGGCTAATTTGATTCCTCCAAATTCTCACCTACCCCTGATAACCTTTTACCCACTTGCTTATCAAAAATCTATTTGCATCGGCCTTAAAAATGAGGAAAAGAGGCTATTATAATCGCAGCTGATGTCACTACTGAAAAACGCAGATCCAAGAATGAGATCTGGCTTAATAGATTACATTTTGCTTTTTTCTAATTGAATACCACAGCCCTTCACTGTAACATAAATACACAAAGCTGCAGATTTGGTTTTAAACAAAGAATTTTATTACATAAAAGAAATAAAAGTAAAACAGACAAAGCTATCTACACATAACCGTTAGGCTGATTTAAAAACAATGGCATAACGCCCCATCAACTTCTCAACACCATAATATTATAGTTACTCAAAAATAGTGGGTCAGTTGGCTTGATTGTGATGTACAGTGATGCCGATAGTGTTGGTTCAGTTGCCACATATACATACATACCTATGGTATATGTAGACTATGGTATACATACCTATGGCGACTTTTACCTTTTACTCAAAATCCAGAGCAATTTCTTCCTTATCAAATCTTTAGGTTGGACGTACCTGCATCTTCTGAGTTGGGAAGGCCTTTTCCTTTGACAATGCATAACTGAGAGTCTATACCTTCTCAGTCTTTTAATAATCTGCAGATTTCTAACCAAACACTTCTAGTCTGGATGTTTCACAAACAGGACTCTTTCACTAAGGCAACTTACTTCCTTAATAAGAACAATCTTGTTTTCCTAACAGAGACTCTACTTGCTTATGACCCCAGTCAAGTCTCCTTCAAGCTACCTAAAAGGCTTTTGAACTAAATTAAAACAAAACGTGTTCATCCTGGACTCTGCTAAGCTAATCACTTTACATTTTCTATCACTGGTCGTAAACCTTCACAGTATAACCAATCTTCCATTAACATTCCAGGAGGGACATATTTGTCCAAAAGCATGGTTCCTGAAAGACTGACATAGTTAACTTTTAAACCCCTTCATAAAACTAGACCATCACATATGCCTCTAGCTGAAAAACCAAACTCTATGTACAAATTGCACATTTTTCGTGACAAGTTCTAAGGAATCACAATCCTCTGAGAAAAGTATACTCATCTGTCTTAAATTGGTAACCCCTAATTCTTAAATAGTTATCCCTAGATTTAGATTCCCCTACATGAAAAAACATCCTTTCCACGTTGACTCTGTCAAGGCCCCTCAGGATCTTACACTCAGCTCCAAGATTTCCAGCATCTCTTTCAAATCCTTCTTAGCTTCTACGTTGGCAGTCTGCTCGATACTCGAATGAGGTGTAAATTCCTCCAGCAATGTAGGCTGCATTATGAATCAGTCAAAAGATAAAAGACTTGAGCTGATGCAGTCCACTGTTCAGTCACCTAACACCTAGTCTGTTAAACAACATTTGAAAAATAATTCATTCTTGGGAATACAAGTGTCACTGGCATGGCAATAGGCTATTTTATGTGCAAATCACCCAAAGCCTTTGATTAGATCCTAGCCTGTAACCTACTCCTGCTTAGCTGCTATTTCATGTTCATTTCTCAGTTAAATTTCAGAGCAGGTTTGAAATTAATTCCAGCCAGGCTCAGGAAGCAGAATAATTGTTGCCAATTAATCGGTTTATTCACTGCTCTTTCACATTATCCACTTTCAAACCACAGGTAGGTAGCTTGTGAGCTATCAGGAGGTAACAGAGGCTGGAGACAAAGAAGCATACCCCTGTCCAGAGATTACAAGTAGCCAAATCTTCACCCCCAACACCACCCCAATCAACATTTCTATTTTAACAATTTAGTCCCTTTAGCATGTTCCACGGTTGATGTTACCTAATTTTATATATCTGTTTTTCCTCCCATATGCCTGAATACCTTTGATTAACAAAATTCTGTTCATTCTATTCACGTATCAACTGTTACTTGCAGATTTCTAAGCTACTACCATCTTTTGCGTGCAGAAGTGTTTTATTGGGCTGGATTTTCACCAACGGGGACAAAAATCCAGTTGCAGAACTTCCCAGCTTGGCACTCATCCCCGAATAGATGCACCCCTTCATGTGTTATTTTCTTTGTGGCGAAGCAGGTGCATGATTGTATTCAGTCTGCTGACACTGAAAGCAGTTTCTTATGGCCGCAGAAGTAGCTGATTGTAGAGGCTGGCTGGTTAGGAAGCTTACCTCAGTTCTCCTGCCATTAATGCCAGTTGTATTAAAGGCCCATACACACTTCTCATTCAAATGCTGTGCCCCACCTGTATGAAGCACAGACACTGCTAAGCTAATCCTGGAGCTCAGCCAAAAAAAAATCATAATGAGGTCATCTGGAGAAATAGATGTCTGGTTTTCTTGATACACTTGTCAGGTGGCAATATGATGAATGCATAGCTGAGCTCCAAGACTCAAAACAGATTAGCTCAACAAGAGTCAGTTTTCACAGGCTGGGGTGTTTGATTTATTGATAACTTTGAGGTTATTAGAAGTTAATATTTCTTTGCTTTTTATTTTAATACCTGTACTTACGTGGTCAAAATCAACAGGTGTGAAGTAAAGTAAAAGCTTCAGTTATTGATGTTATTAAACTTGAGTGGGTGCAGAAAAGATTTACAAGGCCATTGCCAGGACCAGAGGGTTTTAATTATTGGGAAGAAGCTGAACAAACTGTGGCTTTTTTCCCTAGACCATCAGAGGCTGAAGGGTGACCTTATAGAGGCTTATAAAATCACGATAGGTATGGATACAGTGAATATCCAACGTCTTTCTTCTGAGGTGGGGTGTCCAAAACTAGAAGGACCTGAGGGGTAACATTTTCACACAGAAGGTGCATGTATGGAATGAGTTCCCAGCAGAAGTGGTGGAGGCTGGTGCAATTACAAAACTTAAAAGACAGCTGGATGGTTATATGTATAGTAAGGGTTTGGAGGAATACGGGCCAAGTGCTGGAAAATGGGACTAGGTCAGATTGGGATTTCTGATCAATTGGACGAATTGGACTGAAGATTCTGTTTCCGTGCCGTATGCATCTATGACTATGACTGTAGAATAGGTCTGCCATATTAACACCTTTATCAGGTTGTTAAAGCAGCTTCTTTCAACAAAGAATTTTGAATGGGCATTTTTCTTTTCTCAATGATAAGCAATTCAAAATTTAGTGTGGTTATTATATGGTTCATTTGTTCTGCACACTGGCTGAATAGACATGGAGGTGACAGCAGTAAGGCTTTCTAACCATACCTTTCATAAGGTTTCTGAATTCAGAATCCATCAACCATATGTTATCAAGAAGCTGGCTTGACTCCATAAAATTTGAGCAAAGGAAATGCCTATCCCCTGCACTAGAACTAGCTAGGTTAGGGTGCAAGTTTACTACCAGAACCCTCATCCCACACCCGTGAAAATAGCCAGCACTGGGAGTGGGAATCCAGAATTATGCTGTGTCCCATAAGTTGGAGTAGGTTGAACTAACAGTGGCTACAACAATTATTCCAACTTGACTAAGCCCCATTCATTTATTACCCTGTGCTCACTAACCTACATTCACTCTCTCAACCTTGTCAATTTCAAAATTCTCAATCTTGTTTTAAATCTCTACCTGGCCTCTTCACTCTCCACCTCTAACCTTCCCAAGCCTGACAACCCTTTAAGATCTCTGTGCTCCATAAATGGGCCTTTTGCACATACCCAATTTTCTTCATTCCAGGATTGATGAGTCTTGTCAAGGGCCCTGCTCTGGAGTTCTGAAATTCCTTCCATGAACCTTTCTGCCTCTCTTCCTTGCTGTTCCCCTTTGAGACACTCCTTAAAATGTAGCTCTTTGATAAAGCTTCAGCCATTTCCCAATTGAATGATGTAATCACTAATTTACGAGATTGTCATTAAGATCTCACATAATTCACTTTAGGGAGGTAGACCTACAATGCTTACTTGATTTGTATGTAAATGAGTACATAGGACTGTTGGAAGAGCAGCATATTGGGATGGAAGCTGGCCTTCTTCAATATCATTAAAACAAATAACATAGGCATTGCCATTTGTGGAATCTTGTTGTGTACAAATTAGATACGTAAGCACCAGTGACAACATTTTAAAAAGTACTTAATTGGCTTCAAAACCTTTTGGGATATCATGAAGTTGTTCTATATAAATGAATGTAAACGGTTTCTTTTTTTCATTTGACTTAGCCACTCAGTGTTGTTGACTTTTCATGCTTTCTGAGAAGTTGTTAAGCTGCATAATTACTGAAGACAACAACCTACAGTGTGACAGACTCCTCAACTTCTGCACCTCCTAAGCAGATCAAAGCGTAGACTAGCTTCTCACAATTGGACTTTCTTAGAAGAATGAAATCAGAATTACAGAAATCCTAGCATTAAAATTACAATGAATTAATTCTTAGAAACATTTATGATTCTAACATATGAACAGTGCACTGATTAACGCTGTGCCAGTTACTGCTGGACAGAACAGTGAAATCCCAACAGTACTTGAGAAATACACAAAAATAACTTCAAAACAAAATTATGCAGGGTTAGACTTCCCTACATTTCTTAAAGATGCAGGTATTGCCATTGTCCACAGAGATGCTTTGCAATCTTCAAATATTTCCATTTCCTTGGATTCAAATAATTCTTGACAATTACATTTCAGTATTGTAACCACAGCCCAATGAAAACGCATAGAAACTATGTTCCTCACAGCTCCTGAAAGTGCTGATTGTTGCAAAGGCTCAGATCGAATGAATGCCAATTACATTCAGTGACTGCTGCGCCATAGTCAGCCCAAAGTCTATCCCCCATCATTCAGGAAATAAAAACAATTATCTCTAATTTCATGTGCGCTGTTTAAAGGGAGCTTGTCATATGCTGAATATTGAGATTGTTTTACAGGGAACCAAATGTATTCATTTAGAATCAGGGCAAATGCTGTGTGCATTAGTGACAGCAATGCCGCACCATGTGTCATTCAGGATCACAGACATGACATCCGAGTATTTAACCTACGGAGAGTCGGTCATCGGTGTACAATTTCATCAGCATTCACATCAATAATCAGTTGGATTCATTGTCAAACCCCCAAGATGGTTTAAGCCTGAAGATGGGATTCAGTTCACAGGAGCCACATGGTCTCCAACCCCTTCCAAAAGGGCGTCCCACTGATCAAAGTCCTTTTGTAGATCTAAGGACACGGGATGAAAACAAAAAATATGTATAGCTTTTGTCAAAGATTTTTAAAACAGTTTTGCCAGCAACATAGCATTTCATGTCTTTATCCCATCTAGTGCTGACCCTGATATTGAATGCCAAAAATTTGGACCGTATTACCTGCATTGCATTACTGTCTGGTGGTTATCAATGGACAGGAACCTAAAGCAGATAATTTGGGCTTTCTGTTTTGGCTGAATGGCAATTTTCTCTTGTCAATCATGTCTGGAAACTCCACTACTGCAAATGACTGGAACTGATTTATTGTACATAATTTGTATGACGTTATGATCTTTGACACTCTGCATTTACAGTCGTAGAATTGTACAGCATGAAAACAGACCCTTCGGTTCAATTCATCCATGCCAGATATCCTAAACTAACCTAATTCCATTAGACAGCATTTGGCTCATATCCCTCTAAACCCTTCCTATTCATATGTCCGTCCAGATGCCTTTTAGATGTTGCAATTGTACCCACCTCTACCACTTCCTCTGGCAACTTGTTCCACACACACACAGTGAAAAAATTTCCCCTTTTAAATCTTTCCCCTCTCATCTTAAACCTATGCCCTCTAGTTTTGGAATCCCCTACCCTGGGAAAAGTACCTTGGCCATTCATCCTATCCATGCCCATCATGATTTTATAAATGTCCATAAGGTCACCTCTCAGCCTCTGATGCTCCAGGGAAAAAAGTCCCAGCCTATTTAGCCTCTCCCTATAGCTCAAACCCTCCAATCCCCACAACACCCTTGTATATCTTTTCTGAACCCTTTCAAGTTTAACTACATCTTTCTTATAGCAAGGAGGCCAGAATTGAACACAGTATTGTAAAAGTGGCCTAACTCATGTCTTGTGGAGCTGCTGGGGAAATAACCTTGCTATTACCATGAGATACTGTCTTCACAAGTCTTGCTTGCTTTAACTTGTACATGTGCTCCTTAAATGCACAATTATCTGATTAAACAGGCTTTGCTATGGAGCTGGTTGTAGGCTGCAAGTTCTAACCCAGCACCAACTTTTTGGCTCACAGCAGTGTCCATTCCCTACCATCACTCCTCCACCCACACCCCTTAGCACTTCAAATAAGCAGAGCGTAGCTGATTGCATACCCAGAGCTTGGGACTACACCCAGGCACTGCAGTGAGCAGAGTAATTGGATTTACATGGCATTGCTCAATTGCACAGTGCATTATGAGGGTTAACTACTTCTTGACGTGTGAACAGTATTGCAATGCCAGCCGTTATTGCCCATCCAAGTTGCTCTTTAGAAAAAATCGTGGTGAGCCATCTTAAAACCTCTGGTGAAGGTACTCCCACACTTCTGTTAGGTAAGGAGTTTCAGGGTTTTGATCCAGTGACAATAAAAGAATGTTTAATTTATGTCCAAGTCAAGATGTGAGAGACTTGGAATGTACCTGGGAGAGCAATATGTCTCCATTGTACATGATGCCTTTGTCCTGCTGGATGGCAGACAGTGTGGGCTTGCAAGGTGCTGTCCAAAGAAGAGGTTTTGGTTGTGCAAACAAACAAAGCTGTTCTTTTTTACTGGGCAGAAATTAAAAAAGAAATTTGGCAGAAGGGGAGAGGAGAAGAACATGATGGTTTGGAATGCACTGTCTGAAAAGATAGTGGAAGCAGATTTAATAGTAGGTTTCAGAAGGAAATGGGTTAAGTACTTAAACAGAAAAAAATTATGGAGCTCCGAGGAAAAAGCAGAAAGAGTGGGCTACATGGAAAGGTCTTTCAAAGAGCCACTACAGTACTATGGGCTAGATGGCCTCCATATGTGGTGTAAGATTCTAATGGTATCTTTAGGATCATCTTACCCAAATGTCTCTGCAGGAAAGCCAGAGAGGCCCTATTGGTGATGTCCAGACCCTTTATAGGATCTATGGTTCCCTTTGTTTCGAATGCCAAGCTTAGCAACTGGCCAGTCAGTAGTGTGAAGTCCGTATGACTCTGATGCACTGACCCTCTGAAACAAGCCAGCAAAGGAGAAACTTACAATAACAGAAGAATATTTTAGAGCAGAAAAAAAGACTGAGGTGCCCATAACCCCTGGCCTTTTCAGCTAAAGGCAAACTCAACTTTCTCACTGTCAAAGATTGATCTCTCTCTTTCTCTCTCTCCCCCTCCCCCAAACAAGCATGTGCTTAACCACTAATTCATACTGGCCATATCAGTGGCTTTGCCTGATATTGATCATCTTGCCATTCAATTGTTTGCAGTTGATGAGATCCTGTTGTGCATAAATATAACTGCTATGGTCACCTACACCATCAGTGATGTAGTTGAGCAGGGCAGCAATTCATTTCCCACAGATACAACATGGTGTGAAATTAGTGTGAGTTTGTCGTTTGCTCTTTATTCCACAACTCAGTCATATCTGAGATAGAAGCTCAAACCACCCTGGAGGGAATGCAATTATTGAGTTCCTTTCTTAACTATGAGATATGCAAAGTGCAGTATAGCCAATGAAGTATTAATGCAATACTTTCAAAGTTCTTTCTAATTTCTTTTCAAATCCTTGACACTCAATTCTATAGAATGCAATCTAACTAGACCACACCTCTTTTTACTTACACTATGGTGATGATTTTGATCTCATTGTTATTAGAGCGCAGCCTCTTCATTTTATCAATGCTGTCATCGGTCTGGAATTTCTGAGAGTTCACAAAGAACACAGGACGCAACGCTTTGGAATAAATATCATCAGTCAGTGGGAACATCCAGCTATCCAAGGCTACCGCGCACCTGCAAGTTAAGAGGACACTTACAGGTAATGAGCAAGGCAAACATAAAAGAGAACAACATAGGAGCAAATTACTGCAGATGCTGGAATCTGTACTGGAAACAACAAATGCTGGAAATCACAGCAAGTCAGACAGCAAGCTAACGTTTCAAGTCTAGATGACTCTTCATCAGGCCCGAAGTGAAGCGTGGGGGGGGTTGCATTTATGCTATAATTGGTTGGGCGGGGGAGGGGGTGTAGTTGTGGCAGTAGTAGGGTGTAGAGTGCTGATGGAGAAAAGATGTTGATAGTTCAGATTAAGAGATCAGAATGTGAGAATGGCAGAACAATGGTATGTTGTTAAGTTGTGTAGAGTATTTGATGTTTGTAAACTTATAGTGGGGAAGAATGCATGGTCCCTTTAAAAGATGACGTGATTTTTCTAGGCTTGGAGGTTTTTAAAACAAAGTCTGCAGGCAACAGCAGATGTACAGAGTTCTCAAAATTGAAACATTTGTATCAAAAGGCTGTGTCATTGGCAAACAGGCAGTACTCTTGTTTTGTTATGAAGGCAACCAGTATGAATATCAGCCAATTAATTTAAAATAGGCACTTAGAAACTAAAAACCAATTAAATTTAAATCTGATGGCTTTGACAACCTAGAACCATTCCTATTGTAAATCAAGGTATTAAAAGAAGACAGCATTTGAAACTCAGGAGGTGAGTAAACGGTCATCTGCCAAGAGAACATCCCTCAGGTATAAAAGAAAGAATCACTGGCTCTAACAGAATTCTCTAAACTCTCAGGGTAACCATCATCTAACTAAAGGTACAGCGGCACTCTTAGCTAATATTTCTGACATTAGAATTCGACAGAGAAAGGCATTCTTGACTGAAGATCAGCAGAGTATCAGGGATTTCTTTCATTCAACCACTCCCTTATGACATATTGGCAGGGGGAGGCAGGTTATACCACTTTTCACACTTCTTCATAACAGATTACAAGGTGAGGCAAGCTTTTTTTTGGGTGTTTTGGTTTTAGTTATCGGGGGTGGGGATGGGGGGTTGACCCCTACTTCGTAACAGTGTCTAACTGCCAGATTTGAAAGAGAAGACAGTCCCACCAGGTTAAAGGGAGGGGAGAGAGAACACGGTGGCACAGAATGTAACAAGTAAAGCTAAAAGAAAGGAACGAAAATGGGAGTTGGTTCACAATTTGAAGGTATTAAACTCAATATTAAGTCCAGAAGGTTGTTGAGTGCCTAGTCTGAAGAGGAGATGTTGCTCGTCCAGTTTGTGCTGTGATTCACTGGAACACTGCAGCATGCCAAGGGCAGACATGTGGGCATGTGAGCAGGACACTGTATTAAAATGACCAATGACAGGAAGGTCAGTGTCATCCTTGTGCACAGATTGGAGGTGTTCTGCAAAGCAGTCACCCAGAAAGCCTTTGGTTTCTCCAACGTAGAGTGGGCCACATTGGGTGCAGTGAATCCAATACAGAAGATTCACCTGGAAAGACAGTTTAGGCCCTTGGATGGTTAGCAGGGAGAAGGGAAGGGGCAGGTGTTGCACCTTCTGCAGCTACTTGGACAGGGCGGGGGTGGTGGTGCTGGTGATCATGGAATTGACTAGGGTGTCCCAGAGAGAACGATCCCTGCGAAATGCAGACAGGGAGAGCGAGGCGAAGATGTGTACGGTGGTGGCGTTCTGCTGGAGTTGTCTGAAATGATGAAGAATGATCCCTTTAATGTATGAGATTTGGGCAACAAACACATCACAAATAAGGAAGAGTAACTAATGGATCCCAAAACACTTGCTCTGCGCAGATTTTTCAATCCTGCCTTTTGTTGCACTTAAACAAATGATCATTCTGCAAAGACACTAAAGGAGCAGTGCATTCACTTCTCCCACACCCAATTAAGGTGATTACAAATGTTGTCAGATAAGACGCACCTCTGCATTTTAGACTTGAGTGGTAAATGTCTCCAAAGCTCTCCTTAATAACTTCCCCAAATTCAACCCCACTTATGGGATGTTACCAGTGATATAAAAGGAACAGGCCATGGTCACCGAAGTCAGAACATGTACATTGCTTGGAGAGAAATTTGGAGCTGGTGTTCTTATGCACTTGCTGCCCCTGTCCTTGGAGATTGATATGGTTACAGGTTTGGGAGATACTACCAAAAGAAGCCTTGACAAGAGGTTACCAGGCATCTTACAAACAGTGCACATTGTAGCTGCTGGGCTCTGGGTATGGGAAGAAGCGGATGTTTACCCGGGTGGACGGGGTGCCAGTTTAGCAACTGCTTAATCTTGGATGATATCGAGCTTCCCCAGGAATTGCTGCAGCATACCCACACAAAACAAGCAAAGAAAATTGAACTCATCTCTAACTTGTACTCTGTAGGTAGTGGAGCCTCTGGGGAGTCAGGAAATAAGTTACAATTGAGTCTTATGTCTAATATGGCATACAGTCCTCTAACAGACATTTCACGTAAATCATCTTTACCTCTTCACACAAAGATTCTACATTTTATGAGACCAATAGCACCGTGGAGATCAAAGTCTCTCTGGGTGTGATAACACAGTTTCACATTTGAATCATTCCACAGCATGAAATCAATATGCCTCACCATAATGCTACATTAGCAGGATGAAAAATATTTCTGAAGATAGCACTTTTTGATTATGCTTCCCCTGATCCAGTGATTGAAACAAAAGCATTAGACACACCTGAACCGTGAATCCCTAGCGACTGCCAGAATTGATGTGCAGCCTCCAAATGAGTGACCCATCACTGCAACCCTCTTCAGGTCAATGCAGTCCTGTGGAAACAAAGACCATCATCTCAGATTTCAGTCCTCCCAAGTCACCTCCCACCCACAGCTGGGCAATGCACCCCTACTCCCACAAATCCAATGTGTCCTGATGCAATTCCCAAAAGCCACTGATATAGCTGGTCTCAGCCAGGAGGCTTGGTTCCCTCAGCCATGGACTGTCAGTATCTATTGTGGACATTAATCCTGCGGTCGTTTGCAATGAAAGCCATTGGCCAATCTTGTGCCTTCTACTTCCATTGATCCAAGTCCATTTGAAATGCATTCCCTCTGTCTAATGTCAACGTGCCCATTCTGACTGGAAAAATACCAGTGCGGTAGCAATGCAGATTATCATTATAGCATTATACAACGATGCAGCATTGGACAAAAGCAATCAACCAATCATGTCCATTGTAGGCAATTTGTTGACTTATTCTATTGATTCCAATTCCCTATTCTCACACCACAATCTTGCAATCTTACTCACTTCAAATAATTGGATAAATACTAATTAATTATGATTTAAAACATAAGTAATCTATTTTCACCTCCCCCTACTTTCATCTACACATTCCTGATTACAAAGCACACTCAACTAAGAACAATAAATTCTCATTTAATGCTGGCCAATTTAATATTACCTTGCCTGATGGTTAATGGGGCATCTATTCATGCTTAGTGTTACGGGATTCATTTTGAAGTCATTTCACACCAACCTGATGTCGCGCTGCATGAACTGATTGGCAGCATTTTGGAGCAGCCTCTCGTATCCTTGACCCTCTGTCCAATGGCCTCTCCAGCTCACTGTCTTCACCCCTTTTGCTGCTGACTCTCAAAACGTGCAGCCTCTGCTTCTCGCTGACTCTAACTGGACTTCTTGTTTCCTGATTCACTTTCTTGAACTGTGCTCCCATTCAAGGATCGCATCCTGGTCTGATCTAAACCTAGAGCTCCAACATTGTCAAAATCCAGTGCTCCTCTGGTCTCTTGCTGTTCATCTCCAGAGCCATGGAGGGTGAGTGACAAGCAGGGACATTTTGAAAAAAATACCAGACTATAATAGCCCCAAGTTGGGCACTTCTGCACTATCAGGACTTGCGCTTCCACACTTGACTTTGGATTGGATCTGGTAGTCAAGGAATGCAGGTTCAGGAAAGGGAAGCAGCAATTGGGAGAGTCAGGGAGCAGTAACTAAGTCTGGCTCAAGCAAAAATTGGCAAGAGTCAGGGAGATGAAGGAAAGGTTTGCAGCAAACAGAAGGATCAGATGTATGACAAGTGGGAGGTTTGGAAAGACAGATCTGTAGCAAGAGTGCACTGCCGTCAATAGAAAGTTAACATATCTCTTTTATATTTCTATATTTTGTTTTATTTTATTTTTCAAGTTCTCTTATTTGCCAGCTGAGGAATTCAGTAATGCAAAGCATTTCATCTTACATGGCATGATGGTTAAATGTTTTGAAGCTTTATTTCTGATGAGGTCAGTCCTATAGAACCTAATTGCAGTTTATAATGGAAAATGCTGTTTGCTCAAAGTCAGATTTTCAGGAACCTAATTACAACTTTAAGTCATCACTTACGATACTTAATTGGTTGTAAAATGTTTTGGAACATCGTGAGATCACAAAAGGTGCTTCTGAATACTTTATTTTTCTTCATGCTCTCCACCACCAATTTCTGCTTTATTCTCGAAATACAACTCTTCCCTGCACATGAGCAAATGCATGTTTCTGCTATTTGGGGGAAAACAGTGACAGCACCAGGGTCTGGGTTTATTGGAAAGAGAAAAAGAGGGAGGGGTGTCTGGCTCCCAATATACCCACCTTCATAACAGAGACATCCAAGTGACCACCAGGAAGGCCGTTTTTGATGAGCTTCCCATTGTTAATATCTGTAAGTACATCCAAAGCCCGACTACACTCCTCCACTCGCTGGCACATCTGGGAGAGAGAGAAGGGGCAGCAAAACAAATATTGCTCCAATTATTTTGATGCTACATTTTACTACTCCCTTAAAAATGAGAAAAGGAACTGTGTAGAGAGTGTTTTAAGGATTGATGTCAACAGATCACTGGAAATTAACGTGTTGAAATAATCAGAAATCAAAGAGACTAATAGAATTTTAGTTTCACCTCGGGGTGGGAGGTGGTGTTGAATACAAAGACAAATAGGGTATGCCTCATGTACACATTCTTATTAAAACCTCAACTAGAAGATTGAGCTCAATTTAGGAATCAACTCAGGATGGATACACTGCTTTAGAAGGAAACTATTTTCTTTGGAAAATATTAAAGTGCCTGAGTGTGAAGACTGGGAATAGATTGCATTGTTCCTTTGAAGAATAAATCAATGCAGTCTTGTTGGCCACTTTCCATCCTTCAGGATCCCATATCAGATACTTCTGAATGCTGCTGCAGTACAGAAAGCTGCCATCAGATGTCAGGAGCACTGCATTTCCTGCAGACTCCCCTCCATTGAACCGCTTGACCTCGGGCAACCTTGGAGGATTAAACTTTAGATGTTTGTGCCTCACTGCAGGGAGATGTTAACTTTCCACCTTTCCTAGGTGTACGGTACTTATAATTCATTATATTTATATCACAGTGCAACAGGATTCGCCAGAATGTTATCAGAGCTAAATAGATTAAATGATGACAGTTTGCACAATTTGCTTTATATTTCTTCAGGTCCAGATATTTGAGGTGTAATCACATTGAGATGTTTAAAAAGTTTAAAGAATTCAATGATGTTAAATGTAGAGAAAATATTTCCTCTGGTGGGAAATCAGATCAAAAGGGCATAATTTTAAAATCAAGAAGTTGTCTTCATACAATGTGCTGTGGAAATTCTCAAACTTTTCCCTTAAAACACTGTAGATTTTGGGAGTTAATTTTCAAGACTGAGATCAGTGGATGTTTAACATGTGCGAGCCCAAGGGATATGGAGCAAAGGCAAATCGTGGTACAGGCTCGCAGGGCTGAAAGGCCTGTTCTTCCCATGATCCAATAAATTCGTAGTTTCTTCAGTCAGTGCAACTATCGACCACATATCTCTTTTCCCTTCAAAAACCTGGTTATTTTCTTGTTCAACCCATTCATACAGACAGCCACAAAAGCTTTGCATGGCGCATTCCACTTCTCTAGTAACCCCTGCAAAATCATTTCACCTGACTACATACATCCTATTCCCAACTTCCCAACCTTTAACACAATTGGTTTTATAAACACCGATAAAACTTTTAAGGACAGAAGTAGAGAAAGAAGAAGCCAGCAGATATCCTGCAAAATAGCTCTCAGTAAGATGAAGTGCAAAGATAGGAGGAGTTGGCCATTCTTGCTCCTTGAGCATATTCCACCATTTGGAAGTACCTGATTGTTTAGTTCAACTTCACATTCCTGCACTCTCACTACATCATTCAATTCCCTTCACATTCCAAATTCCACAGATTTCACCCTTGAAGGTCTTCACCACCTCTGGTGACGAGTGTTTCAAAGATTCAAAAAAAAACTGAGTGAAGAAATCTAACTTCATCTCAGTCCAATGGTGGAATGATTAAAATCAGAGACACTCAGAAGAACAGAATTACTAGAGAAGCTGAGGGTAGCTTATGGGGTTGGAGGGCAGGAAAGAGATCGGGAGGGCGGAGGGCATGGAGGGTTGTGTAAACAGGTAGACGCTTTTTAAAAATTGAGGTATTGCTTAACCAGGAGCCACTGTAGGTCAGTGGGCACAGGGGTGATGGGTGAATGAGACATTAGCAAACTCATGCCACTTCTGAGTCACAAGGTCATGAATTCAAGTTTCATTCAAGACTACAGCACAAGGTCCAGCTGATTACTTCACGGTTGGAGTCACTTTCTTTGGATGTGACGTTAAACAGGCATCTTGCTTGCTTTCTCAAGGGGATGCAAAATAACCTACAGCACTGTTTCAAAGCAGCGCAAGTGAGGTCTCCCTATGTCCTGTGCCATCATCATTTTGGTACTTGTGGGGTTCTGCTGTACGAAAACTGAGGGCTACGTTCCTCCATTACAACACTCCAGGAAAATACTTCATTGGCTATAATGTATTTTCAAATATTGAGGTTGTGAAAAGGGCTGTATAAACGTGCATCTTTTTCTTTGTAACCTCTGCTAGTTAGTCACATGAAATAGCATATTGGAAGCAGCATTTAAAAAAATAGAAATAATTCTACTGCTAACTAGGGGCACATGGTTCTTTGAATTCCAGAAGTCAAATTTATAGCCAAGTAAATCACTGCCCAAGTTCATCCAGATGTCAATTAGAAGCTGCAGACATTCTGGCTCGATCAGTGTTTCCCAGCACTAAAATTAACCACTAAAATCAGTCATTAGGAGTTGCATTCCTGCAGGGAAACATAACCAGGGAGTCAAGAAGAAAATTTACTGATATATTTAGTGCCCCTTCCCAGTGCGAAGACTGAAATTGGAATATTCAAGGGAGCAATCCTGGATTTTAAGCAAAACCTGTTTATTCCGGAGGGCAAAATCTTCCTCAGCTGTCTCTAGTTTCCTAAAGGGGAGCCATTCTTTATCCGTCTCAGGTGGGGAGGCTGGGGGAATCCCAGATCCCTTGAGAGGCTGCTCCACTGCAACTGTTGCTCCAATTGATGGCTCCAAATCCTCAACAGGAGACTTGAGAAAGAAGGTTGTGCAAGCCGATTCATCTCTGATCCAAAACAAATGATAACAAAAATCAATGGGCCTCAGAGATAATTGCAATGAATTCTTTATAGCAAAGCTCAATAGATCTAACAGCATCTGTGGAGAGAAATCAAAGTTAACATTTCAGGTCCAGTGACCCTTCCTCATAACAGTTCTGAGTTTTTCCAACAATTTCTGTTTTTCTTTCCAATTTCCAGCATCTGGAGTTCTTTTGGTTTTTAAAAGAAGTTGTGGATCTGGTTTAGCAAGACATGAAGTTTACATTAGCAAAATCCAACCACAAATAATGCAATAGTTCGGCCTGAATCCATTTACACAACCTACCCACTCACTCCAGTCTTGTATGTTCAGAACTTCCAGGTGACTTGCAAATAATATATTACATGTGCAGAACAACTGTGGCACAGATTAGATGAAAAGTAAAGCTCCATCTCCATTGACTGAGGGGTTTGACACAGCATATAACCCAGAAGGCATTACCTTTGGCATGATCCCACATTGGAACAGATATTTGGCAGCCTCTCTAAAAGGGTACTGAGCTCCTTTAATGTACTCGAATGCTACAAAAGTTTCAGGGCCTTCTCACAATCACTAACCTGTGCTCGACTGCAGCGACAATAAATCCTTGAGATGCCAACTCGATGCAGACAGCAGAGTACACGGTCCTGTCACATGAAAAACAATCCAAAAGTGAGCTGTTTTAGCACCATGATCCTCTCACAGCACAACCGGTTGCCCACTCCTTGTCAGTGGGGGCTTGGGAACAGTCATATAAAAGGAAGAGGGCAGCACACAAGCAACGACATTCATCTGAGGACTGAGCAGGAGGTGTAGGGCCTTGGATTCAAAGAGTGAGTGGCTAAGGCCTACAAGCAAGAAACACTCTACCACATGGAGAAAGGAGGCTATATGATACCAGTATACCATTACAGAGGGGAAAAAGTAAGAGAGGACAAGAAAAAATGTGCATAAACGAGAGAGTGGCAAAAAGAGAGAGAGAGATGAAAAGGAAACAAAGATGGATAAAGAGATGACCAATCAACTGTTGGATCCCTCATTTAGATAAGTACATGAGTAGGAAAGGTTTGGAGAGATATGGGTCAGGAGCAAGCAGATGAGACCACTTTAGTTTGGGATTATATTCGGCATGGACTGGGGAAATATCCGCACAGGGGCTGTATCTGTTAACCAAGTCACCTTTTATTTACCTGTGTAAGTACACTGGCTGTGACCAGCCAGCTCAGAGTCAGTCGCCTGAGCTGATGAGCTTCTCACCTCAGTCAGGGCTTTCCTGATTGGCCCAGGTTAACAACTCCAATCAATGACTTCACAGTCAACAAGGTCAACCTGGTTCCAGTCACTACATCCCTCCCCATCCCAGGTCCAGGGATATAGGCCTTGGTCTTTGGATTGTTGCTTTTCCTGTGAAGTTTTCACCAAGTCTGGTTCCTCTGGTTTGGACTCTGACACAGGCGGCATGTACCAGACCCTAGCCACACCTCTTGCGTTTGGAGCATCTTGGGTGAGTTTCCTCCCCTTCTTCCAGTCGTAACGGTATTGAGGTCTGCTTGACACTAGACAGTGGGGGAGAACCTACTGTTTCTGACAGGCCTTCTGAGGGACCAGGTATGTTTTGCTCCTGTCCACTTTGCGAGGTAACAGCTTTCAGGTGATCTATTTGTTTGTTAAGGACTGTATCACCTATCTGAACTTTGTAAGTGATGGTAGCTGACCTCGCGTCAACCTCACCTCATACCTGTACAAGGCCATTTGCATGGTTCTGGCACCAAACTTTCTCCTGTGAATTAAACCGTCTCTCTTGTTTAAGAGGCATTGGCATTCCTGCTGCTGTTTCACCCTCCCTCCCAGGTCTGGGAATATCAGGTTTAATCTGATGCGGAGTCTTCTCCCCATCCACAACTCTGCTGGAGCTATTCCTGTTGTTGCATGTGGTGTGGTCCTTTAACTGAACAGGAACAGGGACAGTTTGATATCAATTGACGCTGTAGGCTGCTTCTTTAAGCCTGCCTTCAACATTTGGGCAGCTCTTTCCACTAGACCATTGGACAACAGTTGGGAGCTGTCTGTATGTGCCGAGTGCCATTTGACTTTAGGAAATATTCAGATTCCCTGCTGGTAAATGACGTCCCATTGTCTGTGACCAATACTCCCATAAGTCCATGTATTGCGAACGATGCTCACAGCTTCTCAGTCGTCATTCCTGAGTTTGCCGAACGAACTTTATGCACGTCCAACCACTTTGAATAGGCATCCACAATGACCAGGAACATTGAGCCTGTGAAAGGACCAGCACAATCAACATGCAACCAAGTTCTCCTGGCCAGTCCCACAAATGTGGGGGCGCTGCTGGTGGCAACTTTTGTCCTTATTCGCACTCTGGGCACTGTCCCACCAAAGCAGCTATGTTGGCATCCAACCCTGGCCACCAGACGTAGCTTCTTGCTAGCATCTTCATCTTGGAACCCCCTGGATGGCCCTGGTGGAGGTCAGCCAGTATCTGGCGGCAACCTTTACTTGGGACAATCACCCTTGCTCCTCGTAGTAATATGCTGTTCTCTAGGGTGATCTGGTCTTGCTGGGTCCAGGAAGGTTTCAATCTAAGTTAATGGTGGCTCTTCGGTTTCCCACATTACCACCAGCTGTTTTAGTTTCATTAGGGCCAGGTCTTTTTATGCCTGCAGTAACTGGAGAAAGTTGAAAACCAAAACGGACTCTTCCAGGAAGGCACCAGTGGAGTATCTGCCGGTGAGAATCGGCTCAAGGCATCCGCATTAGCCACCTGGCTTCCTGGATGGTGCTCTAACTTGTACACACTGAGAATCAGGGCCCAACACTGAATTCTAATGGAAACTTTATGGGCAACACCACCATGCCTTCCTTCAGCAGGGTTTTGTGATCTGTTACTATGACAAATTCCTGTCTGTAAAGGTACTGGTAGAACTTCCTAACACCAAAGATGACCACCAAACCTTCTCTCTCTATCTGGGCATATTTGTGTTTAGCATGAGCCAAAGTCCGGGAACCATACGCTAGTAGGTGTTCCTCTCCATTGGCTCATCCTGATACTGTACGGGCAGGCATCGCATGTCAGCACTACCTCTCGCTTCAATCATAGTGAGCCAACACCTTAGATGACAATAGCTGCTTTTTCACTTCCCTAAAGGCTACTTCTTGGCTACGCGACCATTTCAAAGGCTGACCCTTTTTCAATAACAGGTGTAACGGTGCCAAGATGGAGGCCAGGTTACATATGAATTTTCCGTAATAATCACTAACCCAAGGAAATAATCACTAACCTCCGGTACAAGGGCTCCTTTGGTGCCCTCACTTTCTCTTCCAATGGAAGGGATCCAGTTTTATGGACTCCATAATCCAAGTAGGTCACTTGGGGTGCCTGGAACACACATTTCCCCTCTAAGGCGTACACCTGCCTGGGAGAAATGTTTAAGCACTAATGTCCAAGTTCTCCAAGTGCTTTGTACTGGTCTTCCCTGTTATTAGAACATCATCTAGGTAAATGGCAACCTGGGGTAGCCCTTGTAAAATGTTCTCTATGGTCCACTGGAAAAGAGTGCAGGCTGATGATACCCCAAACGGCAGTCTTGTATATTGGTATAAACCCTTATGGGTATTAACTAGCATACTTCTGGAACTCCTCATCCAGTCACAACTGCAGGTAGGCGTGGTTCATGTCCAGCTTCGTAAAAGATAACCCTCTGCCAACTTTGCGTACAAGCCCTCTAAGTGAGGGATCGGGTACATATCCAGCTGTGAGAAATTGTTTACCATTTGCTTATAGTCCCTACAAAGATGAACTGCACTGTCAGGCTTCACAATCAGTACAACTGGTGCTGCAAATTCTGCAAACGGCGTTGGTTTGATGATTCCTTCACTTTCCAGCCTCCTGATTTCTACCTCTACTTTTGCTCGCAAGGCAAGTGGCACCGGGCAGGCCTTGCGAAATCTCGGAATTGCTTCCTGGTCAACATGTAAAGTGGCTTTGGCCCTTTTGATAGTTCCAAGCCTGTCCTTAAATACTCCTGGGTATTTCACTAGGACTTCACTGAGGCAGCCATTTTCTAATTGAAAAATGTTGAGCCACTCCAGGTGAATCTTTCTCAACTAGTTCCACCCCAATAGGCTTGGGCCCAAGCCTTCTACTACCATCAGTGGTAATTGCACCAACTGCTTCTCAAAGCAGACCGGAACCAAAGTCATACCCTTAATCTGCAACGGTTCCCTAGTCTGGCTGAGGCCTTGTGCAAACTTCAGGGTTGGAGTCTCAAGTGAATCTTGTTAAAGACTGATTCTGCAACCACAGACACAGCTGCGCCAGTATCGATCTCCATGGGAACTGGGTGACCATTTAACCAAATGTTAATTTTAATTGGGTCCGATTTGGATGTCAGTAAACAATTTAATTGTTCCAACCCACATGTAGGGGGACTTTCCAGGGTGTGCACTCTCCTGGGTACCAGCCTACAAGTTTTCTTGCTCAAGTCAGGCCTTGTAGGACTCCTTTGCTGTCTCCAGTCTGCATACCAGCAACAACTACAATGGCTTGCTAGCCCAGATCCTGAAGAACTTGTTAGCCACTTGGCTGAGACTTGGCTTTGTTGTGGGGTTCTGATGTGGGCTGGCATAGGGTCCCTTTGCTCAGGATATGCCCTCCGCGAGGCTCTGTGATTACCTACATTCAAGTGGTGTTCCCCAAGCACAGTTCGAGAGGTGAGGGAGTCCACTTCCATTGGGATGTCCTGTAGCTCCCATGATCCACTTACAGCATTTTCTAATGATATTGCCAGTTGTAATGCTTGTGTGAATTCCAGTTGGGCTTCAGCTAGTAGGCACTTCCACATGGCTACGTCATTAATCCCACATACCAAACAGTCTGTCAGCATCTTATTCAGGGTTAACCCTGAATCACATATCTCTGCCAGTTGTCTCAAACTTGTCAAAAATCCTGATACGGATTCCCCTGTTCTCTAACTGCCAAATAAAACCAATATTGTTTCAGGATTAGAGGAGGTTTGGGGTTGTAATATCCCTTAACCAGCTTTGTCAACGCTTAGAAGGTTTTAGTGTCTGGTGCCTCTGGGAAAGTTTGCCCCTTATATCTGAGAATGCTACAGGTCACAAGCAGCCAGAAGGATTACTCGTTGCTTTACATTTGCCCCAAAGTCATTTCCCCAGAAAAAATATTGCATTCTTTCCAGGTAGTGGCCCAGTCTTCAACAGCGGGATTAAATGAGTCAAGCTTCCCAAATAAAGGCATGATGCTGGAAATGCTGACCCCAACTCCAAGATGACTGGAGTGAGCCAAAGTTCTTCAGGCCCATCCTGTTTTCTCTCGTCACCACTGAAATAATTGCACAGAGGCTGGTATCCAGTCAACCAGTCACCCTTTATTTACTTGTGCACAGTACCCTGGCTGTGGCCAGCCAGCTCGGAGTCAGTCCCCTGAACTGAGGAGGGTCTCATCTCCTGGTTATATTAGTCAGCCAGGGCTTTCATGATTGGTCCAGGTTAACAAACCCAATGACTTCATAGTCAATGAGGTCAACCTGGTTCCAATCAGTACAACTGGTTAAACCGAAGGGTCTGTTTCTGTGCTCTATGACTATTATTCTTGGAATATTGGCTGAACAAATAGCCTGGTGGAACTAAACAAGTTATGGCAAAATTGACAGAATCTAAACTTCAGAGAGACTGGATTAGTTAGGACCAGATTCACTGGAGTTTAGAAGAATGAGGGGAAGTGGGGGTGAGATCTCATAGACACCTATAAAATTCTAACAGGATAAACACAAGAAGGATGTTCCCAGTGACCAAGGAGTCCAGAACTGGGGTCACGGTTTAAGGAGATGGAGTTGCCATTTAGAACTGAGATAAGGAGAACCTACTTCACCCAGAGGGTGGTGAACCTTTGAAATTCAAACCACCAAACACAGTTGAGGCCAAAACATTGAATGTTTTCAAGAGGAGTTAGATATAGTTCTTAGGGCTAAAAGGATCAAAAAGGGTATGAGGTGAAATCAAGAACAGGGTACTGAGCTGGATGATCAGCGATGATCATAGCGAATGGCGGAGCAAGCTCAAAGAGCTGAATAGTCTACCCCGACTCTGATTTTCTACGTTTCAGAAATGAAAACCAGTTATCATAAGATTTGGCACTCTACCTGAAAGCCCCAAGGCCGTGAGAAAATATAATCAGTGGGTACTTCTCTGCAGCTCTGAAAGGAGCATCCCATCCAACCGGAACTTCATAATAACCTACAGAATGATAAAAAAAAAATGGTGCATAAAAAGATAATGCTGGTTGGCAAAAGTGCAATTTAATTCCTTACATTTGTTTCTCTTCTGGTTTTCTAAAACATCTTGCTACTGATATGATGACTACTTTGGTCTAGACTGTGATTTTAAGATGAAATCACAAAGTCTGGTGATATTTTAAACTAATTGGCAATAATTTATGCCATTATAATGAAATCACAAAACCACGGCAGGTCACAATAAACAAGTAGTTCTGGGAAATGGACAAGATCAATTTTCCCTCTGCACAAGGCACAATCTCTCCACACCTCTTGCTATGACCTACCAATTGTTCAAATTTCCCACGTTGTGCCTTGTGTCTCTTTCGCTCCACATCTTGCTGTCCAGTGAGAGAGCCGTTTTACCTCAGCATCTGTGCTCCTTAAGTATGACTTGAATTAATCCTATGAGATTAACTACCTCAGCTCAGCTGATCTACTACTGAAATTATCACCCAAACCGAATTACCCATTATCTCGACTATTACAATTCTGTCTCACTTTGCCCACTCTGCATAAGCTTGCGATTTGTCACAACTCTGCTGCCTAAACCTTGACTTACGCCAGATTCCATTCAGCCATCACTTACAAATGTACATTGGTTCCTGCCCTGGGAACACCTCAACTTTAAAAAAGCTCATCTCCTGTGGTTTCACCCTGTGTCTCTCGGAAACCTTGTCTGCCCTGACAACTCCTCCACACTGCATTACTGCTGGTTTTTGTACATCCAATTTTCAACTCTTCACTATTCATGATCATGTCTTCACCTGAATGGCCCTAAGCTCACGAATACGATTCCTGAACCTCTCAGCCTTTCTCCCTCCTCCTTTATAAGAATATCCTTAAAACCCATAGCTTTCACTGAGATTTTGATTATCCATTATAATGGTTCAGTGTGAAACTTGATTTGATAATATGTCTCTGAAATAACTTGGTATGTTCCCCTATACAAAAGGGCATTGTACAAAAGCTCATGGCCCAGGAGGCCAAGAAACAAAAATCCAACCTATTTTATAGCCAATGAAGTACTTTTGTAACGAAGTCAGTGCTGTTTGCGTAGGAAATCTGACAGCCAATTTGCTTACAGCAATGAATTAATTACCAGAAAACCTGTTTTATTGACATTTGTTGAGGGACAAATATTGACCAGTATACTAAAGAGAACACTCCTGATCTGCTTTGGACTGTGACAGTGGATCTTTCACATGCACCTGAGAACTGAAGGAGCCTGAGTTTAAGGTCTCATCCAGAAGATAGCAACTCTGACAGTACAGCCTATCTCAGTACTAGCACCACACGCATCAGCCTGCATTTTGTTCTTAACTTTTAACTATGGGACTCAAACCTTCTGATAAAAGGCCAAGAATGTTAAGGTGAGAACAACTGTCCACATCCTAAATATTGCTGGCTCAGCACATCAGGGGTACTTTTGATTCCACACCAACTTCAAGATTTGGCCATTAGACCCAATCAAGGCCAATGATGACCGGTGCATGTGAGACTCCATTTAGACCAATGACCAAGATTACTGCAAGAATTCCTTACCAAATACAGTTGTTCTGGTTCTGATGGCTGCATTGCTGGCTCTCTCACCAGATTGCTCAAAGAACACTTTGCATATATCCACTGACACCCATTTTCAATACACACCCAACCCTGATATGCCCTTGCCCTCTGTGGACACGTCCTCCAGTTTGGAAACTTCTGCTCAATTATTTCGGTTGCATAGATTAGCACCTCAGCCATTATGTTGGGTTACACTCACCGAATGCCATGTTGAGCAGGGGGGCACACCACCTCTTATCTCTGTTCAGATAATCTGCGAGGCCTCTGCAGTACTCATAGTGGGGAATCCATAGTGGGTGCTTCACTTCTCCATAGGCCTCACAGGGATAATATAAACGAAAGAAACTGCCCTGAAACAAATTGAAGTTTGTTTTTAAGGATACAAAACGAGCAAGCAACAGAAAGAAATCCTTGCATTTCCAGACCTAAGAATTTCCCAAAATACTTTGCAATCAAATTAAGTACTTTGATGTGCAATACAGGAATTATGGTGATCAATGTGTACACAGTAAACACCCACAAACAGCCAAATGATAACAACTGGATGATCTGTTTCACATAACATTGGTTGAGAGATAAATATCGTCCAGGAGACTGGGGAGAACTCAATTTTTCGTTACCAAAATTGTGTCACTGAACTTCAAATGCTTTTAGTTGAGAACAGGCACAGTGCCTCAGTTTAATATTAGTCCAAATCAGGCCTTGAAATAGCTAAAGAATAACTTCCAGCTCTGAGTTTTACATCAGTTCTTGAGTTTGTTTGCTTTCTTTGAAAAAAGTATTCTGTTTGCACATTTTATGACAAATCTGAATACCAATCATATTTTAAGTTCACACTTGAACCGAGGCCTTTGAGTCTAGTCTATCACTGCGTCTCAAGACTCTATCTAGATCCTGAGTTTTAGACACAATTAGGGTGCTTCTCCAGTTAATGTTCCGCATTATGTATTGTTACTATTTCAAGAGCATTAAATCTGTGTGCATTTGATTTCTTCCAACTGTGACAAAACAACCAATTCTTTACAATGCAGCACAAGTCCCAGCAGAAACTAATACAGGTCAAAGCCAACCACCTTCAAGTTTTTTTTCCCCCACAAGTGTTCTGAGGAAGCCTTCAGTCATTAGATAATGATTTTCTTAGCAAGTTATATCAAGGACATGAAATGGGTGTCAGGAGTTGAAAGCTAACAGTATGGGAGAAGCAGCTCTTTTTGCAAGATTGGTCTTTTGCAATTCTTCACACTTCATTACACAACTTAACAACAGACAAATTCAATGTCAACATCGATTTTAGGTGCTAAATATTGGCGTAAAGTACACAATGAATTACCACACAGGGTAAACACAGAAAAAACCTCCTTCTAAATGATATTAAACATTCCCAGGCTAGGTGCAGATGTTACGTTACACTTTTTGAGCAGTTTGTTGTATATTTTTTACAGCACTTATGATACGTCTTCTCATTTCCTTAACCAAGGAATCTTCCTATAACTGGATTACAGAACCCTCAACCACGTACAACCCTGTCTGTGCTCAACATTTCCCTCCTCCATCAGCATTCCACAGGGTCCTTTAACTTTGTGACACCCTGGTGCATTTCTCAATCATTCTTAACTCATATTTCCTCACCATCCAAAACCACAAAAGCACATTCCAAGTGAAACAGCAATTTACATGTACTTCTTACAATTTCGCTTCCTGTGTTGTTTGCTCACAATGAGGTCTTCTTTACATTGGGGCAAAAAAAAATACAGATTGCGTGACTGCTTTGTGGAATACACCTGTCTAGTCCACAAGATTAACCCTGAGCTTCCAGTTGTTTGCTATTTTAATTTACAATCTTACTCTCTCTATTCTCTTCTGATCCTACTGCACTGTTACAATGAAGCTCAATGCAATCTTGAGGAACAGCATCTCCTCTGCCGATTAGACACTATTACTTTCTGGACTCAACATGTCTGTGTGTTATGTGTAAATTAGAGTCAATGCAGGGTTCAATAATTTCAGATAATAGACTCTGTCGCTCACTCTGATTCTGATTTCTTTTGCAAGATGTGAATCTGAATCTTGTTTTTCACGTTAATCTGCTTTTGGACAGAGCTGTTTACAACTCTACCATTCACAATCACTGTACATAAATTCTTTATTTTGTTATCATAGCTATAATGACTCTCTCTGCCTTTTCTACATGACATCCTTGACATTTAATTTCTCACACTTTCTAATTTGTTCCAGACCTTTCCTTTTCTCCTAACTCCTGCACCCCATTTCAATGGCACATATCTCACTGCATTTCTTCCTTCAACTCTGACCAGTCATTGAACTCAAAACATTAAATCCATTTCTCTCCATAGATACTGCCAAAACTGCTGAATTTCCAGCATTCTCTGTCTTTATAATAGAGTAAAGCTGCTTGTCAGTCAAGTACCCACAGGACAAGTACAACACAAGTTAGACACAAAGCAAAGCTGCCTTTACACTGTCTGAAACAATGCTAAACATATATAGCATAGATCAGATACAGAGCAAACCCCTCTGCATTGCCCCTGTCAAACACTCATAGATAAGACACAGATACTGGAAGGAGCACAGTTTGAGTCCAAGTCAAGGATTGTATGGTACGAGTGGGGAAAGAAGGTCTAGATATGGTCTATCGAGACAGCAAATTTTTGCTGAGTCAGTGCTACCCACAGGTATTGCATGACAGTGTAGTCTGAATCTGCTGACAGTCCCAAAAACCACTCCATCTTATTAGTGCATGTCACATGGATATTTGTAACAAACGATAGGTTTCACTTCCCTCATTAAACTTCTGCTCCAGCTCGAAGATGCTGACCTTGAACTGCTTCCCAGTGCGACTATCACTTGGTCACTCTTCATGTGAGAATCTAAGCAGTGACCAATAGATTACTTCACTCTTAAGCGTTTTATTCACTCCTCCTCACATCCTTTCTAGCGGGGGTTGACTGGATAGTGATCAGAATCTTTGGCTCTGGGAATTCCTAACTCAGGGAACTGAGATCGATTTTATGTTCCTGTAGAATCACAGAATTTCATAGCACAGAGAAAGAGCTCAGTTCATTGAGTGTGTTCCTTTGCTCAAGAAGAACTGCTAACTTTGTCCGCTTTTTCTTTACAATTGCCGTTTCTATTCATCAGGGAGAATAACTGTGATTTTTGATGTGATACGATAACGACAGAATAAATCTAGTTATCTTCATACCTTTATTTATATAAAACCAAATAGCGTTATCAATAATTCATCCCATTTTTGACCATTTTGCATGTTTACTGACCCATGGAGCTTTCTACCCTTCTCAACTTTTCAGGTTCTCTCAGGTCATGTGTGTTTCTTATCCTTCTTTCTTTCTCAGTAAATGTACTAGGCCCATTTTCTCCCTGTTAGAGTGCAGCCGAAATAAGACAGAAAGGAGTAGAAGCCAGGGCTTGTTCAGCTCACACTTTGGTATCACAATGGGCAACACATTCAGCAGCGAAACTCTGCAACTTAATTGACATATGACACACAGACTTGTTGAGTAGCACAAAATAAGCAGCTCAAGTGAACTAAATGACCAACGTAACAAGCTGACAAACCTCAAGAGGAAACAGTTCACAATCCCACAACTCAATTTTATGCCTTGCTACACAGAACAACTCTTGCACAGTTTAGTTTTGTAATTTCAGAAAAATATATCACACAATCATCGCTAATCACCAAGGTATGCAGGTGACTCACATCAAACACATTTCTAATACTTCAAAAACTTACTACATACAGGGGAGCATTTTGGTGGTTTAGGAACAGTCACATTTTCAAAGATGGGCAGCAGAAAATAGCCTTTTAAATTATGCTTACTGCAGATTCCTTCATGTGGTGCTTTATGTAAATCCACGTTCCAAGTCACATTATAAGAACCAAGAAAAGAAAATAAGAACTAAGGACAGGAAAGTACTATTCAGCCCAATTAATGTTCCCTTGTTACCCTAAATCTCTCATTGAAGCACATCCCTTTCTAATCACAACTTTCCCAAAGTCAACTCTTTTTTGATAACTTGCATTTATTCTGTGTCTTTGATGTTGTAAATATGCCCATAACAGTTTGCAGGGGCAATTATCTAGAAAATTTCACACCATCCCACATTGAGCAAGTTTTTGATCACTTGCTAAAGAAGTAGGTTATAATGAGCATCTTAAAAGGAAGAGAGAACTAGATGTTTGGAGAGCTTTGTGGAAGAAGCGAGAATTTATAGCGTAAGCAGTTGAAGCTCATGAGATCGAGGATGTAAACAGGGCGAGAATTGGAAGAACAGCAAAAGCAATGTCATGGACCTGATCCCCAGAATATGGTGGGGCTACGGGGATAGGATGGGTCTAGTGGAATGCTCTTTGGAGACTCGATGGGCTGAACGGCGTCTTTCTGCACTGCAGCAATTCTATGAATACTGACTTTAATCATAAAACAGCCAAAGACAGACTTTGGCACGTGCATTTCACAACCAGAGACAACAGATGACAAACATTGAAAAAGAAGTGATGAGAGCCACCAAAATATAAATAGTACAAGACACGCAATTAAACAGCTGTTGATGTAAATGTTAAGAACTTGCTTATTATTTGAAACAGCTTCTGCAAAAAGAAAGGTAATCAGGTGCAATCTACCCACCTTACTTTCCATTATCGCATCAGACTATATAGCAATGAAATCCACGAACAAACAGCACTCCACAGTTTTACAGTTGAGGAGAGAGTTAAGCAGGTCAGTCATGACCTCACTGCGTGTTGAAAAATGTTTGAAGAACCAAATATGTTCAGTGGAGCTAATTGCATCTATTTGTTCCTATGTTATTTCTGTGAGGGCTGAGGTTAAATAGAGCATCGAGTTTATTCTGTTGAAGGCCTGATTTCACAATATGTTATGTGATCTACCTGTGGACCACACACAATCCTTACCTTTCCAGGTACATCAACAGTTTTGACAAATTACTTCATTGGAAAGGTTGTTTGGTCTTCAGTTTTCATGATTATAGAGCAGGAAACAGTACTTAATTAGTGGTTACACCACCCAGAGAAGACCACTTCTGTTTTTTAAAAAAAATCTCTTTAAAAAGATACAAACAAGTGAGTGCACTAGATGTGATATTTGGAACACTACACGCCATTCATATGATGCTGAGTTAGCTGGTCAGCAATGGTGAGGCTGAAATTGGAAAGAGATGGGAAACCAAGCCAGTACCCACGTCTCACATACCTGCTGGAAAATACACTAGGACTGAGCGGAGCCCTTCTCACTTTCAAACAGCAATCTGTCAGTAGAGACCAGATGGATGCAGGGCCTATTATTTGCTTGTGGATTTGCACTTGAAGAACAAAATACCCTGACATCCTATAGCCCCATTAGGAACTAATCTCAAGTGTGCATCAGAACCATTCCACTTCAAGATGTCTGCAGTATGTCAGAATTCTGTTGCACGAGTCACAGTGTAGAACTCCCACTAGGCATCTGCCCTCCTAATACAGGAACAGTAAGTGATTTCACACTATGTAACAAATCCAACATCCGTGGAGTCACCACAGACTAGGAACTAATTGGATCAGCCACATAAATGGCATGGATACTGGAGCAGGTAAGATTGTGGATATTCTAAAGCAGGTGACTCTCCAAAACCATTCTACCATGTATTAAGCACAAAGTCAAGAGAGTGTGATGGACAATCTCTGCTTGTCTAAATGGGTACAGCTGTGACAACATTCAAGATGTTTGATATCACCCAGGACAAAGCAGCCTGCTCAATTTGCACATCATCTCGTGACTCATGCATCACTACCTCTACCACAGACAAGATATACTGCAGTAACTCTGTTTATTAACCTTGATTCCCTACTGAAACATTTCCACCTTACCTGTCTTCTGTTATCAGTCAGGATGTCTGTGCAGCCAACTGTATGGGGTCCTTTTGCAGGAGGCAGTCCCAGGGATTGCACCCCACCCATATTTTTTCAAATTGTAGTGTCAAATCCACTTCCTATAATGCACAAGACAACAAAAGTAATGTTTACTGTTTTGTCTTGTTGCCCAAGTATTGTAAATAACAATGACAGAGCAACTGAATCATTCCAGACTCCGAAGCTGAACTTTATCCCATTGTGTGAATCCTGCAACATGTAGTTACATCCTTGTCCACCCACAAAAGGTTTTGCAAGTCTGTGTGAACCCAATGAACTGAAGGATCAGGCAAGCAGTTTCAATCAACTCTAATGCACTTCTGAAACACAGTGATAGAAATATCTGCATTCTTTTTCAGCCTCCAAACTTGGTTCATTACTTCCTTCCTAGATAAATCCTCGCTTTTTTTCATTAATTTAAAATCAAGATCATTGCTCCTCAAACGTTTCCTCTAATTACTCCACAAGCTCTTTTTTTAAATTCCTTCACAGGATGAGAGCATTGCCAGCTAGGCCAGCATTTATTGCCTATCCCCAATTGGCCAGAGGTCATTCAGAGTCAACCACATTGCTGTGGGTCTGGAGTCACATGTAGGCCAGACCAGTAAGGATGGCAGTTTCCTTCCTTAAAAGACAAAAACAAACCAGATGGGCTTTTCTGACAATTGACAATGATTTCATGGACATCATGAAATTCCTAATTTCACATTTTTATTGAATTTAAATTCCACCATATGCTGTGGCAGGATTTGAACCTGGGTCCCCAGAACATTACCTAGGTCTCTGGATTAATAAACCAGTGATAATATTACTAGGTCATTGCCTCCCTTCTTCTTATCTGTTGGCAGTACCGTTTCTAATGTGAAGAGTCTACATAGCAAAGACTGATAGAAAATTTGACTGTGGAGTGGAGGAAATCAAACCTGAGCTGAATTTCCCCTCAAACATCCATACTCTCACACCCCATTCAAAACGGATTATTGGACAGGAGTAAGAGCAAGAACTATAACTTTTCCTCTCCCTAACCCACTGATTCTGAAGCAAAATGTAGCAGCTCCACTGAGAATCAGACAACATTAAGCTGGGCTCAAACCTGGAGTTTGTCAACTGGGGTTCAAAAGCTCACTGGATAAAGCCAATATCTGAGCAAGCAAGTTAGAATTTGAACATTATAGAAAGCATAGCCTCAGATCCATCTCCCATCAGGTGCCCAGAAATCTCCAGAGCACATCATGATGTTTCCAAGTTCCTTTGTTTCTCTATAAAACGATAAACACATTGTTTATATAAACATCAGCTGGGTTGCTGACCTGCCACTAAATTGGCACAGATAAGATTTTCAGCAAGTGTTTTCACTCACGTTCAATACTCTAACCACAACGCCCACGAAACAGCAGCATCCTGGGACCCGTCCTGACAATTAAAATAATACGTTTCTATCAAAGAGAAAAGTATATGAGTGCTTAAAAACAAAATTAATAATATAGGACTGAGTGGGCACCAGCCAGCTCCTCACCTTTTTACAATAGCTGAAGGGTACCATTCGCGCCCAACGCAGAGACGCCGTCAAAATAAATAACAGCTGTGCCTCAGAATCGAAAGCTATAAAAAAAAGTCTAGTACTTGGAACTTAGTTGAGCGGAGGATAAAGCGACAAACAAGGCTGACCAGTTTCTATGTTATATCTCTCTATATCTCTGTTCGGACTGCACTGAATGTAAAGCATATTAGTATAGAACACAGTTGGTGCTTGGATACATAGATCTATTGCACAATTCGTGCCTAATTGAGCCACATAGATAAGATGCATTTAAATTGTATACTCTTGCTGCAAGCCTTTCGTCCATTCTTCCAAGTCTGAACACTGAGCATTCCCTTATCCCTCTCCCCTTTACTTACTTAGCCACCTACCCTCCCTTCCTCCCCGGTGGTCTTAATTTAGTCTGTTTGCACACAACGAAGGAAAGCTTGATCAAATATAGTCTTGATGAAGTCACTGTTCCTTTAAAAGCAGAGTAGACAAAAAAGAACACTATTGTTACTTGCGTGCAACTCATTTAAATCGCATTCAGCTAAAGTTCCCCCCAAAAGGGGAAACTGAAAGTTTCGCTTGACTCCTTAAAACTTCAGCCAACATTTTCCTTGATTAATTAAAGCTATTACAAGGAAATGCTTCCCTGCTCCGTTGCTGGGGATAATTACCTTGCTCTGCTTGTATCCCAATCTGTGCCGCGGACCTGTCACTGGAAACTTAGTACTTCCTTGCCCCGAGCTAGGGCTGCCTGGAGCACGCCGGGAACTGCAGTTTCACCATCACTGCCTTGCTCGGGCCACCGTGGCCAAGGGACTACAACTCCCACACCGCACCGCGGCCCGTTCCTGCCACGCCCACACACCCGGAATAGGGCATAGGAGGGCAGCAGCGCCCTCGGCCGGCATCTCACCGAATCACCGAAAGACGCCATTCGGCCCATCATACCTGCAACGGCTCACCAAACGAACGTCATTACATAGTGCTAATCACCGATGTTTCCCCCCATATTCGTGCATATCGTTCCTAGCCCAAAAATCATCCAATCATCCAAAACCGCGGATGCTGGAAATCAGAAACAAAAACCAGAATTTGCTTGAAATACTCAGCAGGTCTGGCAGCATCTATGGGGATAAAGCAGAGTTAATATTTCGGGTCCAGGACTCTTCTTCAGAATCATCCAATGCTATCTTGAATGACTTTACAAAATAATAGAATTGTTATGGCACAAAAAGAGGCCATTTAGCCTCTTTTCTGGGTTTAGTCTCTTTTAGTGGGTAATTATCCCCATTTCTGAAGAAGGGTCCAGGCCCGAAACGTCAGCTTTCCTGCTCCTCTGATGCTGCTTGGCCTGTTGTGTTCATCCAGCTCTACACCTTGTTATCCCATTTAGTCTGTATTGTGCCTGCACCAAGATTTTCAAATGAATATCATTACCTCATGCCAAGCCCCCGCCACAGACTTTGATTTTGAATGAATGATCCGACAGGAACTGCCCCATTCCCTCATGTGGTAGCTTTTTATTGCAATTTACAGTCTACTTATTTTGATTTACAGAATAGAAATAGAACAGAAGTTTATTGTCAAATGTACTTTTAATGAAAAATATAGTGACAAGTTTTATAAGTCACCCCAACACAAAATCTACATCAATGACAGAAGTCATGCATAATAATAAAAAAAGTAAAAGTAAGACAAAGTTCATTACAGTTCAGTTAATGGCTCCTGGGCTCAGGGAAAACCGACTAAAGAGCAGCTAAATACCATGAAGGTGCACCCGGGATGAGACGGCCATTCCCGGACCACCACATTGGGCCACTGGAATACTGGGACTGACGTCCCCAGGGAAGAAGACTGCCATGCCGGGCCAAGATCACCACTCCTAGACGAGACCACTTGGTGGGCCACTGGAATACCCAGGAGCTGAAGCTGAGAATGACCTCCTCACAGGGACAAGACTGCCATGCCAGAACAAGACCGCCTCACCAGGAACCAGCCACACGGTGCTGAGACTGCCGCTTCTGCTCCTTCAGGTGCCTGGGCCTAGCCACGGACCTGGACCCTCGGCCTAGCCTGTGATTCCAGGCCGGGTGAGTCAGCCCGGGACCAGCTCCTTGCTCACTGGGAGACCTCAGGGTGGGATGGATCATCCTGTGTTCAGATCATAAGGGATGTTTCAGAGGTGAGTTACATAACACATTGCAGAACAGAAACAGGACATTCAGCACAACTGAGCAATGTTTACATATTACAATAGCTTCCTGTCATTCCAATTGGTATAACCTTAATTCTTTAAACTGATTTGTAGTTATTGTAATCAACCTGTTCAGCTATGACTATGACAGGGCAGGTGGATCTGGAACTCTGACCCAAAAATATCATTACACCACAAGAGCCCAATCAAAGCCAAGTCATTGACAGATGAGAGTTCGAAAACATAACCACTAGAGCAGAATGCACCACTTAAAATGGTAGTGGAGCATATGGAGCAGGAAGATCCCAGGTTGGATGCTTTCATTAGCTCTTGTCCAACAGTAGAGACTCCACATGACAGTGAGGAATAGACCTCAGGATAGGCGGTGACCAGCCTTGACTCCCACAGATGATTACTATCAACTGATACTAGTTGTGAGGATATGATTGGTGGATAGGATTGGGAGTTGGACGCAATCACTCCCTGTGTTCAATTGGTCTGTTGACTCTTATTGTTTAGACTTATGCAGGGCTATTTGGAGGAGGTGATGGATAGAAGGTGATGAGACAAATACCAGCCACAACGCTGGACAGTAAAATTGTTTATGTAATAGAGAGAAGATGAGGAAGTAACCCAGATAGTCCTTGGCACCTTCCAGAAATTTTCATGTTCAATACACCAATTTATTAAGAGAAACAAAGAAAATAAAAAGGTTGCATTCATTTAGCACTTCTCATGATTTCAGGATGCTCTAATATGCTTTGCAGTCACTGAAATATTTTTGAAGTGTAGTAACTGATGTATTGTGATTGGAAATCCAGAACAGGAGTGCACATTCTTACAATTAAAGCCAGGCCATTTAGGAGTGAAGTCAGTACAATGCAGAGCTGGAGCAACACAGCAGATCAGACCTGATGAAGGATGTAAACCCGAAATGTTGACTTTCTTGTTCCTCTGATGCTGCCTGACCTATTGTGTTCCTCTAGCTCCATACTGCATTGACTTTGACACCAGCATCTGCAGTTCTTGCTATATCCATTTCGGAGTGAAATTGGGAGGGATCTTATTAAACTATATTTTCAGAAGAGGAGGGAAGAAAATGAGAAAAACTAAGATAAAAATTTGCAAGACAACAAGGTGCAGGGCTGGATGAACACAGCAGGCCAAGCAGCATCATAGGAGCAGAGAGGCTGACGTTTCGGGCCTAGACCCTTCATCAGAAAAGGGGGGAGGGGAAGG